TCAGAAAATTCGGTTGAATTTCCTTGCATGTCAAAAGACAAGCCACAAAAACTCAAGGAAAAGGTCGTGGTTTATCAAAGGGTTCAGACTATGCCGAATCAGGTTTATGAAGCTAAAGGAGTCAATACAAGACAAACGGCAGAATTAAGAGTCTTGGTGGAAAAAGACAATGTTGAAGGGTGTGACGATAACTTCTGGTCTGCCACTATTGACAACGCAGATGAAACAGTAGGCTTGTCTGAGCAAACTTCATGGAGGGTTAAAGGAAGATATGTTATTGAACCCATCAACAAACCCTCAAGCTTCGACAAACCAAGCACAAGTGGAACTAAAGAAATTCCTGAAGAACCAATGACAAAACCAAATGCTCCAGCAAATACAACCGAAAAGCAAAAGCAGAAGCCAAAGGCTAGCTTCAATATCCATAAGTCACAGAAGGAGTTAGCAGAGTAGAAACGCTTAAGAAACAAAATATATGCAAAGAACTTGAATGAGCGAAAACATCACTGGGAATCTCAAAAACCCAACTACATACCTCCTAAGATAGTGTCAACGAATAAAGGAAAGGCAAAAGTGGAAGGAAAAGAAACTTTCAGCGCAAATTCCTACTACTCCAAAAGTCTTAACCGAACATCGGCTCTCGGTTCCTAGACTCACGCTCAAAATCGAAAGTCAAGTTTCGATCCCCATACAGCTCTCAGAACCGAAAGTCACTACTAGAAAACAGACCTTTAATGACACGCTTTTTACGACACGCACTGATTAATGATACGCAAAAGGATGTGCCCTTAAAATAGTGTTATATCTCCAAAAAATTTAAGGATTTACGTCACGCATTATTGCGTGCCCTTAATTTAGTGTCTTAAGAAAAAAAACACGGAGGGCACTTTATCTTAAACACACGTCGTCTGTACCTGTTGCTTTATAATTTTAATGAAACGCGCTTTTAGTAGACAAGGGGGAAACAAAATCCCCAAAATTTTGAAAACCCGCCTCGTTTTTTTCTATCTTCTATCTATCTTTCATCCTTGCAATCCACTCTCCCCTCTCTAATACTCTTTCCTCTAGATCTCCCTTCATTCTCTACCTCCCGTCTCTCTGTAAACCCTAAGCCATCGCCACCTCCCTTCTCTCTAGCACGTGCTAGGGTTTTATTTTCTTTCAAGCTTCCGCTTCTCTCGTTTTCTCTCAACCCAGTACATGCGAGGGTTTGGAATAACTAAGTGAATTTAAACAATCAATCTTCCATTTCAACTTCTTTCAACTCTGGATCATCGGGTATTTTTTCAGATTCCTTTTCCGGTTTCGTTCACTTTCGAAATTGGAATGGGACCCGTTCTTTTCTACTTCAATACTCTTGATCTCAACCGACTTTTCTTCTTCTACTTCTTCTAACAATGGTGGTTGTTGCTCAGAGTTAACCTCGGCAATATGCAATTTAAAAACCCCAAATAAGTCGAATTATTAGGTATAGGGTTCTTTATCTGGAAGCACAAGGCTATCTGCAATCGATTCAGCTAATCTAAGCTCACAGGTACATGTTACAGTCAACAAATCGCCATCATCATCTTTGTATTTTATCAAAACAAACTTCGATTCTAACACTCTTTCGTCCCCCCCCCCCTCCTTCGATTCAAAGGTCCTTTGTTTATTACAGAGTGGTAGTAGAGGCGATGGTGCTGCTGATAGCTCTAACAAATAGTCATCTTCAAAGGTAAAACTTCATCTTCCGTTATTTTCTGATTCACATGTCCAGTAAACATTTTAACCTCACATGATGACAAGTCTTGAATTCAAGGTAGAAGTTGTATGGAAGGAAAACTGAAGTATATGAGGGAAACCTCAAGACTTTCTTTATTAAGTGAAAAAGGAACAAGTCTGTAAGTCTGTAAGCTCTGTGTTTTGAATTGATTTTGTGCATATTGTCTTGACGTTGTAATGAGTTTTTTTAATCTTACCGCAGATAAGATGTAAAATTAGAGAATTAGCTTGGTTTCAAGACTAAACTCTTAGTTGAAAATATTAACCTATATGTATGTCACAAGCTTCATGTTTATATAAGAAGTTATATATTCCATTGATATTATTTGGTAATTATCAGAGAACAGAGAAAGGATTCCAAATAACCAGCTCCATGTGATATATATCAAGAGAGAAAAGCTCCAAGTATCAATATAAATGTTTGAAATTGAGTTTGTTCTTTATCAGTGGCCTACTATGGAAGAAGTTGAAATGGGTAGTTATATGGGAATTCCTGATTCCAGATGTGTGTATATAGCTTATATTGTAGATGTAGTGTATATTTGGGTTAGGCGAACAAGTGGGGAAGATGATGATAACTAGTGGTAGATTGTTGGTGATGACTTCATTGTTAGAAAAGGTCTGGCAACAAGCTCTATTGTTCAGGTAATGTCTTAATTTGAAAAAGCTTCTATAAAATAGTTTGCTTGTATCTTCAAGTCCCTATTGCTTATAATATTTTGTATATTCATGATTATGATGAATAGATAGTGAGAGAAGGTGAAGAACCAGAGCAACTATGGAAGCATCTTCACTGTTTCTCATTCCAGAACACAGAAGAGAAACATTAGAAGCATCCGAGGCAGTTTCTGCTTTGTGATGCAGTGATGTATGAGAATGAAAATGTTCGTTTAATTTTTTTCCATTATATGGGTGTGAATTTATGTACAATTTCTAGTAAAAAAAAAGAAAAGAAACTGGAATCATGATTGATAACCAAATGCCACTCATGTAATCTATTCTTTTTATTTTATGACAAGGTGTGGATCATTTGTTTGTTTATCATAGCATTTTACATTTAATCCCATTTTCTAAACTACAAATTACAAAACTTAATAACTTCTGTTTTGCTTGATTGTAGGCATGCTCAATGATTGAATCAAGTTTACACTGATTCCCTTCTACATGATACTCACATAAAATGGAATACCTATTGATGTTTGGATATCTTGTTTTTAAAATGGACACTATACATGCAAGAAAGTTTGGAAGGTAACCCTGCTGCCACATTGAAAAATGTTTCAAGGGGTTTTGCTGCACTTACAGTTCCCCTCATTGCAAGTTTCCCAAAGGCTAGTTCACTACTATATCTCTTTTTTTAAATACTAAACTACCCCTCCCTCAAATTTAAATACCATTTTCATTTTCATGCAGGCCCTCTTCTGTTATTGGATCACCTCCAACTTGTTCTCCCTACTATATGGATTAAGTAAGTTGATAGAAGTTATTAAATAACTTAGATCATGTTGTTTGAATTAACATCTGATTTTTTTTTGCTATTCTTGTTTCAGTAATAAAGAAACTCTCATTGAAGAAGTTTCTCAACATACCCATAATCATACCTCCACCACCATCTCCTGTTAGTCAATCAAAGCCAACTTTCTCCTTCTTTGAGGGTTTGAAAAAGTATGTTGCTGCTTAAGCAATACAATGTCATTTAATCATATGATAATTTTCATTGCTCAAGCAATGCAATGTCATTCAATTATGTGTTTACTTTTATGCTTCTTCTTCTCTAATTCTCTCTTACTCTGTTTTGCTGTCATTTCTTATTCAATAGCTAATTATTTCCTTTTAGCTGTTCTGGTTGATTTGGGTTGACTAACCATTGAGACTTTGTTTCCCAGCCATTAATCAGTAGGTTGTATCATTGGTATCAGAAACATAAACTGGAGCAACGATACACAAAGGTATAGGTGAATCCTGAACACCCTGTAGGATTTAATTGGACATCCTAATCAACACTCTTCACGATTGACAAAGATTGAGTTCCCTCATTTTGGAGGTGATGATATTAAGGCTTGGTTATGTAAGGTGAATCAGTTTTTATTGCTTGATCACATATCAGAAGCATCAAAGGTGCCTTTAGCTTCTATTCATTTAGAGGGCAGGGTCATTCAATGACATCAAGGGTATTTCTCAAAGTGAAGGAGTAAAAACCATGAAGCCTAGAGCCATATATCAGATATGCTAATACTTCAAACATCAAACTATGACTAGGACCATAGGGGTAAAATGATCCAACTCCCAAAAAAAGAGAGAAATACCTAGAAAAAAATAAAAAAGATCAACTTCAATTTTTATTTATTAACAGGAGTATAGTGAACTTATGAATGAGTTCATGATAGCTTTGAAGCAAAATTATAGGGAAAAATTTCTCATTCAGTTTGAAGATTTTGCTAACCATAATGCATTTGATCTTCTTGCAAAGTATAACACCACCCATCTTGTTTTTAATGACGATATACATGCACAAAAAATAGAGATTAAATATTTGAACCTTTTTTAAAGCTTTTTGTTTTAAATAGCTTTTTATTTGTTTTTTCAAGGGACAACATCAGTGGTACTTGCAGGGCTTATTTCTGCTCTAAAATTAGTTGGTCGAACGTTGGTAGACCATAGATTTCTATTCCTTGGAGTTGGAGAGCTTCACAATTTATATTCCACCTACTTAATTTGTATCCTTTTATTATTATTATTATTATTATTATTATTATTATTATTATTATTATTATTATTATTATTATTATTATTATTATGTTTCTGAATTATAAGCTTTTGTTTATGTTAATGCAGGCTAGCAGAGGAATTGCTGAACTTATAGCTCTAGAGATATCAAATCAGGTTAGAATGAATATATATCTACACATTTTTAATAGAAACGAAAGAAAAATTAAGAATTATGATGTATGTTTTATATAATTATGCAGACAAATCGTGTCTAGATTTACTTCAGCAATTCAAGAAACCTTGGACCCATGATCATGAACCTGTTAATGACTTCTTGGATGCAATCAAGGTCTGAATTTTCTCTTTGGTAATTACATATTACAAATAGTATAAGCATGATAACAAAATATTACTAAAGTAACTATTAACTTTTCTTAATGAATTTCTTTAGGAGGTTGTAAACATTCGAGTATGTTTTTAAAATAAATCAATAAGTCCTAAAAGTAGTTGTTGTTAAACGATGGATTGAAATGGCATCCTCTAAAGAAATTACAGAAGCCAGAGATGTACCTAGTCCCGTGGGGACCGCATTGAATATGGTAGTTGCTTTAAAGAAAGACCATGAAGCTAGTAAGTTTGTCTTTATTCAGTTTGTTATATCATAATCCATATGCATCATTTAAAACCATACAACAAGAAATTTCTTATTTTTTTTCCACATTTCATTCAAGCATAAGCTTTTATAGGATTGGGTCATCCTTTAGATTAATATGCAAGTATGTAATCGTTTTCATGTTGAGGATAATTTGGTCCTTTCATCTCTTAAGATTAGCTTACATGGTAAAAACCGTTTTTAGGTTCACCTGGAGTGGGGTTCATGCCGCATATCCATGATGTTAAAGCTGGAGAGGTGCACTCATGATCCTTCTATATTTCTGAAAAGGTTTATCCATAATTTTTTATTTACCAAAATTCAAAGTTTTTTATATAAATGCAGGATGTGTTGGGAAAATTAATGTGGTTTTCTCAGAATAGCACTCGAGCTGTTGTGCTTTTTATATAGCAAATGTTAACCTTGGTCTTTGTGTTTTTTGTTTGTAGATTACAAACACCAATTTCTTTCAAATAACAGAAGATCTAGAGTTTAATTGTGTGATTGAAGGTGATGGATGTAAACTTGATTCTGGAACTCTTAGTCTACCAACATTAGAGTTTAATTGGGTGATTAAAGGTGATTTTGGTTCTTCAAATGAGACTCAAGATATCATATTTTCACATGGCTAGAAGCTTTGGAGGAAACGAGACTCAAGAAAAAGTAAACACATAGAGAGTTGTTGGCACATAGTAAGCTAGATGATCAATTGTATAGAAATGAGTTCATTTTTTTTTATAATATTTACTCACTTTTGAAATAATTATTTGTATTTGACATATTAGTGAAATGAATTATCTTTGTTATTTATGGTATTTTATTTTATATTATGAGATTTTAATGTATTATTTAATTTGAAAATTAGTAAATGAGTAAATTACACGAATGGTCCCTATGGTTTGGGGTAATTTTCACGTTTGGTCCCTAACTTACTTTTTCAACTCGAAAGATCCTTACTGTTTGTTTTTGTTACGTGTTTGGTCCCTTCTATTTGTTTTTGTTACACGCTTGGTCCCTATCTTACCTAAAAAGATTATTATTTGATTAGGGAAAGATAATGGGATAGGTAGGGTAAGGTGAGTGGAGTGGGGTTAGGAGTGTGTTTATTTAAATAAATTAAAAATCAAGGGAAAAATAGTCTTTTTAGGTAAGATAGGGACCAAGCGTGTAAGAAAAACAAACAGTAGGGACCTTTCGAGTTAAAAAAATAAGTTAGGGACCAAACGTGCAAATTACCGTAAACCATAGGGACCATTCGTGTAATTTACTCTTAGTAAATCTATAAATAATATTTTTTTTTAAACATTTAAAATTATGATACGCAAAAATGTGTGTCATCTTGATTTATGACATGGCCTTTCTTGACAGGGGCGTTCTTGATACGCTTTGCGTGTCAATAACACGCGCGTCGTAAGGTTACGACACGCGAATGCGTGTCGTCTTCCTTTATGACAGGGCCTTCCTTGATACGATTTGCATGTCGTAAATGCGCGTCATAATTGCGCGTCGTAAATGAGCGTTGTAAATGCACGTCGTCTCTCTTTATTACAGGGCCTTCCTTGACGTGCATTTGTGCGTCGTCTGAGCCTTTTACGACGCGCAATGAGCATCGTAAAAGGTTGTTTGTCTAGTAGTGAGTCTAGTTTCAGTCCTCATATCGGCCCACATAATCGAAAGTCAAGTTTCGGTCCCAATAATAGTTTCGGTTCTTTTAATTAAACGTGCAAAATAAACTCTGTGAAGGACATCAAAGGAAAGGGAAAACTAGCGTCAGATTCTGAGTTCAAAGATAAGAAAAAGTCAACTAACCCTAGGATTCAAAAGAAAAATCCTAAACCAACTAACACACCAACTAATGCACCAATCTTTAAACAAGATAAAACTAAAATTAAGGTGTATACCATTAAACGAAAAGATCAAACCACTTTAGTAAAAAGAACATTTTTGGTTGATATTTCTTCTGCAATTCCTTTTTCTGTGATAAACTCACCAAGACCCATGAAACTTTCGGTTCCTAAATCAGCTTGAATTTGCAGGTTCTTTGTGACGAGCAGTTCGATGATGAATGGTATATCGATAATGGTTGCTCACGTCACAGGATTGGAAGGAAGGAAGAGCTGAGGGAGTTTCAGTCCCAAAAAGATGGTGGGTGTGTAAAGTATGGAAATAACTCCTATGGAACAATCAAGGGATACTATATGGTAACAAATGGAGATTTGTCAATTCGAAAAGTGGCGTGTGTGGAAGGATTGCAGCATAACCTCATCAACGTGTCACAACTAGTCGTAGGAATAGGTCTGAAAGTGTCATTTGATGATGAGGGTTCTGAAATCATTGAAAATCATTCGAAAAAGGTTCTGTTAAAGTCTAAACACAAGGGAGAGATGTATCTCTTCAATCTCAACCCAATAAAAGGAAAACTAGCAATATGTCTGCTATCAAAGGCAAACACAGATGAAACCTCGTTGTGGTATCTATGTTTATCGCATCTGAACTTCAAAGGCATTAATAAGTTAGTGCTTGGTGACCATGTTCGAGGCCTCCCTCATCTCAAATTTGACAAGGAACATCTATGTGCTGCGTGTGAGATGGAAAAACAAAGCAGACAGAGTCATCCTACGAGAATCAATAAACAGATTGTTGAAGCTCTTGAACTATTGCACATTGACTTATGTGGACCTTCAGCTATCGAAAGAATCAGTGGTAGTAAGTACATACTTGTCATTGTAGATGATTTTTCACGTTTCACCTATGTTTTATTTCTTAAATAGAAATCAGAAGCAACTTCCAAGCTGAAGACATTTATTAAGCAGGTGGAAGTTCAACTGAAAAAGACGGTGAGAAATGTCAGGAGCGACAATGGGCTAGAATTCAAGAATAAAGACTTTGAGGACTTTCTGGCTAATAAGGGGATAACTTATAACTTTTTGGCCCCGTATACACCACAACAGAATGAGATTCTTGAAAGGAGAAATCGTTCTTTAAGTGAGGCTGCCAGAACCATGCTCAGTTTCGCTTCTTTTCCGTTGTACTTCTGGGCTGATGTTGTTGCAACCGCATGCTACACTCAGAACCGATCCTTTTTTAACAAAAGATTCTCAATCACTCCATATGAGATTTCAAATAATCGAAAGCCCAATGTCAAATTTTTCCATGTGTTCAGTTCAAGATATTTCATGCTAAACTCCAAGGAGAACCGAAACAAGTTTGATGTTAAAGCAAATGAGGGAATAATTCTTGGTTATTCACTCTCGTCAAAAGCTTATAGAGTTTTGAATAAATGATCTAAATGGATTGAAGAAACTTATTACGTCACCTTTGATGACAATTACATGAAGAAAGTTCAAAGGAGAGAAAGTGACTTAGGGGAAATTTTTCCTACATTACGACAAGTCTCGGTTCCAATATCCAACTTGTTCGAGGAGTAGATTCGGTTATTTGATGAACCGGAGAAAGAGGCACACTCAGAGGTGAAAGTAGCAGATACCAAGATTGATAATCTCCAAAATATCATCGATGATACTGCAAAGGAAATGGAAAGTGAAATTCCTAAACCTGTAAGTGCTCAATCCTGTACTGACTCTCAAATCAACGGCTCAACATTCAAGGGGGAGAGTTCGTGTGCACTAAAGACAAACAATGTATCTTTCGAGGGGGAGAATTTTATACCATCCCCAACTAATAAAGGTACATTTGAGGGGGAGAATCCAACTTTCTCAGAGGATGCAAACTTCGATGCTACCACGGGTTACACTTCACCAGTTGAGGGGGAGAAAGAAAAGGCAACTAGCGAAGGCGAGAGTTATCAATCAGAATTTGAAGAGGAAGTGAATGCTAAATTGGATCCGGATTATGACCCAAATTATCCTCCGTTAGTGAAAGGTAACAAGGATCATCCTAAAGAAAAAATTATTGGTGATTCTTCTGAGAAAGTTCTTACTCGTTCTCAATTAAAAGCGAAACAAACTGCATTATTCTCTAAATTTGAGTTATGTGTGTTTAATTCGTTCATCTCCAAAATCAAAGCAAAAACAGTAAATGTTGCGCTTTATCATTTTGATTGGGTTCAAGCAATCCAAGATGAGTTCCATGAGTTCGAACGTAAGCAAGTTTGGAGGCTGATTCCCACACCAAAGGACGCTTCTGTGGTCTGCTTGAAATGGGTCTTTAGAAACAAATTGGACAAAGAGGGGAACGTTATTCGAAACAAGGCTCGGTTGGTGGTAAAAGAATATTGCCAAGAGGAAGGGATAGATTATGAGGAAACCTTCGCTCTAGTAGCAAGGTTGGAATTGGTTAGAATCTTCCTAGCATATGCTGCTCATAAAAACTCTGAAGTTTTCCAAATGGATGTCAAATTCGCTTTCTTGAATGGAGAACTAGAAGAAATAGTGTATGTAGAGCAACCTCTAGGGTTTTTGAACGAGAAATATCCTGATCATTGCTATGTGCTGGATAAAGCAGTTTATGGTTTAAAGTAAGCACCGAGAGTCTGGTATGAAACCCTAACTCGTTTTCTAAAAATGACAAAATTTAAGCAAGGTTCATTAACCCTACCTTCTTCCGAAAGAAAGAAGGCGAACATCTAATGATAGTTCAAATTTATGTTGATGATATCATCTTCGGCTCTTCGAATCCTAGCTTCACAGTTGAATTCATAAAGTTGATGGAGACCAAATTTGAAATGAGCGCAATGGGTCCAATTAATTTTTCCCTTGGTTTAAATATTAGATAGGGTCCAAAAGGCATCTTTATCAACCAGGAGGCGTACACAAAGAACCTGTTAACAAAATTTTTCATGACAGGTGACTCTAAAGTGAAGGTTCCCATGGCATTTGGCACTAAGTTAACACCATATCTAGAGAAACCTGCTATTGACATAACGCTTTATCGTCAAATGATAAGGTCCCTTATGTATATAACAGCTAGTGGACCAGACATTATGTTTTATGTTTGTTATTGTGCTAGGTTTCAAGCTAATCTAAGAGAACCTCACATGGTGGCTGTAAAGAATATATGTCGTTATCTAAAGTGAACTTCATCTCTCGGTCTCTAGTATCCTGCCAAATCAGGGTTCTTTATTCAAGATTTTTCTGATGCTGATGTTGGAGGATGTGGTCTAGACCGAAAGAGCACTACAGGTGGATGTCAATTTCTTGACGGAAAACTTGTTAGCTGGCAGTCCAGAAAGCAAATCTGTGTGTCACTTTCAACAGCAGAAGCCGAATACATAGTTGCAGCTTCTTGTACTTTTCATGTTATATGGATTCAAAGTCAACTGATAGATTACAGGCTGAACATGAAGAAGATTCCTCTCTATTGTGACTCAGAAAGTCCAATAAGGATTTGTCACAATCCAGTGCAACATTCCAAAACTAAGCATATTGCACTTTGATATCATTTTATCAAGGATCATATTGAAGATGGGAACGTGGAAGTGCATTTTGTTCGATCCTCTGATCAACTGGCTGATATATTTACCAAGGCCTTACCTGAACCATGTTTTGATAACATTTTACAAGGTCTGGGAATGATGGAAGTAGAATCGGTACCGAATCCTTGAATCTTGCATTAAAATTAGACAGGCGAAATGGAGCGACCGCTCGGTCTATTTCGGCTCCAAAATATCCGG